TTGCCTTACGCATGATCTGGAAGAAGGGGAGTGCCCTCTCGGCTGACCTGGAGAGGAACCGGTTTAAGGCCGCCAGGCGCCCCGTCAGTCGCTGTACCTCCTTGACGTTGCGGGGCGGCTCCATGTTGATGATGGCCTGCGTCTTCTCCGGGTTTATCTCGATGCCTCTCCGGCTGACCATGTAGCCAAGGAATTTGCCACCCTGGACGCCGAAGGCGCACTTCTTGGGGTTGAGCCGGAGCCTGAACTCCTTCATGATTTCAAAGATTTCCCGGAGGTCGTCGACGTGGGAGGAGGCCTGCCTGCTTTTGACGATCATGTCATCGACATACGCCTCCATCGTCCGGCCAAGGACCGCTCTGAAGATTTTGGCCACCATCCTAGTGTAGGTGGCGCCGGAGTTTTTGAGTTCGAAGGCCATGACGAGGTAGCAAAAGATTCCCTCTGGGGTCATGAATGCCGTCTTCTCAGCGTCATCTTCATGCATGGAGATCTGGTGGTACCCTCTGAAGGCGTCGAGGAACGACATCAACTCGCACCCCGCCGTCTCGTCCACCAGCTGATCAATGTTGGGGAGAGAGAACGGGTCCATGGGGCACACCTTGTTCAGGTCAGTGTAATCAACACACATTCTGAACGTCGGCGGCTTCTGGGCGAGGACGACGTTGGCCAACCACGTCGGGTACTTCACCTCCTTAATGTGTTTGATTGAGAGGAGCATGGCGACCTCCCCTTTGACGAAGTCCCGCCTGCCGGCGGACAATATATGCCGGCATGGCTATCTCTCAACGAGAGCACCAAATGATAGAGTATATCTAGAGAGAAGTGAGAGCTAGAGAGAGAAGTGCAATATATGCTTCAATAGAATGATTTTGTAACCCCTATAACTACTCCCAAAGGGAGTATTTATAGAGAAAATTAGGGCTGGGCTCCCAAGTCTTGGGCTTGGGAGGCCCATTTACAACTGGACCGCTACTGGGCCGAATACAAAGCCACTAATGGGCTGTACAAATGAGTAAGTGTAAAATCCGATTCTGGGAGGTCTTCTTGGCCGACGAGGGCGTGGCCGACGAGGGCACGGCCGACGAGGGCACCCGGGTTCCTTGGACTCAGGACCATAATCCGAGTTGGCCCCTTTTCGGCCGACGGGGGCGTCTTGGCCGACGAGGGCGCCACTCTGTTGTCTTGTGCCTTCTGTTCTTCCGAGTATGTGGGTCCGGGGGCTCAGACCCATATACTCCATCATAAGTCAATACCATAAAGTTAAATTAAGTTAATAAAATAAATATTAAAAGTTAAATATTAAACTTACATGTTAGAGATTTTGGAAAACCTCTTTGAATACAACATTCGTAGTAGTGTCTAATGATTTTCCATCCTTATCATGTATTAAAATTTTCAATCATTGCTTGCTCTGAACTCTGGATAATGCCACATACAATTGTCCATGACTAAAAACAGGTCTAGGCAGGTATAATCCAACTCTTTCCAGTGACTGTCCTTGAGATTTATTGATTGTCATTGCATATGAGACCATTATAGGAAATTGTCTTCTGATAAGTTTAAAAAGCCATGGTGATTGAGAAGGAGACATACACATTCAAGGTATGTAAATCTCATCTCCACCATAGCTTTCAGACATGATTCTTGCTTCAATGACATGATTTCCCAGTCTGGTGACAATCAATCTAGTTCCATTACATAGTCCTTCTGATTGGTCTATATTTCTTAACAACATTACTGGAGTCCCAACCTTAAGTCGTATCCTATGATTTGGGAGACCTGATGTTCTCAAGGAATTTAGAAACTCTGGTGTCAATGCTTCAAATGCTTCTGCTTTGACTACATCTGATTTGTCTACAGAATCGCAACTTAAATATTCTTTGTCTTCACCTGTAGTTATAAAATTTCAATAGACGTAATTTTAATATTTAATTTGCTTAAGATTTTATTGTGTCAGTAAATAAGCAAAGTAGCATTTGTATAATATTACCTGGGAGCAAGGAAAGAACATAGTCGTTAATTTTATCGACAAATTCAATAGTCGATGCTAAGATAGCTCTACACTTGAGAAATTCCTCATTTTTGTATTGCTCCAGCAAGTTAGGACATGTGCTTCGGATTATTGCATCTATTGGATCATCAAATTCTTTAATCAAGAATTCATCTGGAATTTTTATTTCTGCATAACCATCATTTGGCTCTGATATTTTTTCATCCCCCACATCCAATATCTATTTTGAAAATTCTTTGAGCTCAGTAGCACTTGTCATATCCAAACTATTTTGGAGTCGCATATTTTTAGTAAGAGACAATACCTATGAATAAGCAAAAATATACTTATATTTGATTATTATAACTTATAAAGTAATTATTCCAAGAAAAAACTTCTAAAGTGATAATTAGTGTTTTCTAAAGTATCGCAAAATTAAACATATTGGTTATGATACTAAAAAGTGAGTTTAATACCTGACAGTCTTCCCATAAATATGAAGAATTTATTGTAGCATTAACGATGTCTGAACGGCTTCTTCCAGGAATAACGGGTAAAGTTTGTCTAAAGTCTCCTCCAAAGACAATCACTCTTCCTCCAAATGGTGAATTAGAATCACCATCATTATTAATGATGTCACTTAGGCTTCTGTCTAATGCTTCAAAACAAAATTTATGAGTCATTGTTGCTTCATCCCATATTATCAATTTAGTCTGTTTCAATAGCTCTGCAAGTTCACTCCCTTTATGTATATTGCATGTAGAGTTCTCCAAAGTAGGAACTAGGATTGAAAACTTAGAGTGTGCAGTTCTACCTCCTGGTAAGAGTAGAGAAGCTATACCACTGGATGCGACAGTTAAAACAATATGACACTGAGAACGTAAGGCAGAAGCTAGCGTCCCCCACATAAATGTTTTTCCTGTTCCACCATAACCATATAAAAAGTATACCCCACCTTTTTGGTTAGTCACAGCTTCCATTACTGTGTCAAATATGGCTTTCTGTTCATCTGCAATATTAGCATCAAAATATATGAATGAAATCATTTTTCTCCTAACACTCAAAACCATTTAATATGACTTATAAATGACATGAATTGTAGTTGTCTTACCGGTAAGAGAAGCATACAAACTTTGAAACTCCTCACGCAACTTGGATGTATCATAATCACGTTCGGCATAAATAAGCCTATTTCCTAGTTGTTCCGTGATATATCCATTTGGATATGGTATTGAGGGATAGTCTTTTAGACTTTTTCTCTTTTTTTTGCATCAATTTCTCAATCTCCACAAGAGTTAAATTTTGCAACTCTTGATCACTAAGCTGTAAATCTATAAATGTAATAAACACAATTGTATGAGTAATTATAAGAAGATGTTCATGTGTATGTGTCCACTGCCATTATGTCTTTATCGTAAATAATTTAATTTGTCACAGCAATGCAAATGAACGACCAATGAGATACGCATGAAATTAAAATTATGAAATATTTTTATTTGAATATGTTAATTTATGAAATAAAAAATTTCAATATATTGATTTAAAAATATATTTTATTTTTATATGTTAATTGATATGTGAACTAATTTTAATACTTAATGTAAGAAAAGTTGTTTGGGGTAATCGGGAAATAATATTTGTTTATGGTTATAAGAAGTAATTAATTTCATCTTTTACTACAATGCAAATGAATGACAAATTAGATATGCACGAAATTAAAATTATGATATAGTTTTATTTTAATATGTTGCTTTATGAAATAACAAATATCAATACATTGCTTTAAAAATATATTTTATTTTTATATGTTACTTGATACATGATGTAATTTTAATACTTAAGGTAAGAAAAGTTGTTTGGGGTAATTAGAAAATAATGTTTATTTATGGTATTAGTAAATAATTAATTTCATCATTTAGTAATAATTTTAATTATATTATTAGTGAAAATCTAAAAAGGGTAAGAAAGATCTGGTAAACAAATCATATATACTCTGTGAATTCTGATATAAGGTGAATGGAATTTAGGGTGATAGTTTTTAGGAAAAATTGATTGTAATAATCCCAACTATTAGCGGTCCGCTCATAATAATCCCAACTATCGATTATTTCAGAATAATCCCAACTTTAGCGCCCTTCCGCCAATAATAGTCCGAGGTGACCGATTATAAATAAATTCTTATAGTTTCTAAAGAGATATAGTAGGTAATCCATATAAATAATCTCGAATTTCAATTTTTACGCTTAATTTCTATTAAAAAATCACTTGTTAGAACAGGTAATATGCAGTCATGGACCATTATTGGCAGACGGTTCATATAGTTGGGATTATACAATAATAATCAATAGTTGGGATTATTGTTGGCGGACCGGCAATAGTTGAGATTATTATTTTCAATTTTTCCTACTTTTTATGACAAATCTTAATTTTGTTTGAAGGGTAAACGTCATGAATAACTTGTCATAATACAAATGATAGGTGAAAAGATAATTTTTAATTGATTTGTTACCTGGGATGTTCGAGAGCCTTCGTTGTTAATACAAAATTCCATCTGCCAACCACTGCCAAGTTTGTTCCCATACATGCTCGGGTCTGCTCACGGGGCATGATAAGAGCAGCGTTACAAATAATTTTCTCAAGTAGTGTCCTCATGCCCAGTCTTTAACTTCTTTTAATGCTCCAATGTATTCTTTATCATCTCCAAGCAATCCCGTCGCAAAACACGCTTCTCTAAAGCTCGGATATTGAATGTTGGCAACCATCCTAATATCCTCATAACAATGTGGCCCTTTTGTTACAGTGAGCATCATTCTTAAATAGAATAGTTCACCTGTTGTTGGAGGTACCCAGATTAGTCTATCAATAGTATATCCCTTTGTTCTTGGCTTCCAACACCTCTTGCTAGCTACATACACAAATCGTGAAACGAACTTTGCATACGTCAAATCTTTTCCTTCCGGATAGATTTTGTTTGCTTGCATCCAAGATGTAAACATTGATTCTTTAACAGTTTTTCTTGTGGGCACAGACTCAAGGTCATCGTTGTGTCTAAAGAACACAGATTGCTCATCGGGAAGGTGAAAGAAAAGTCTTTCAACGGCTGGAGATCTACCATGAATCGGAAAAGTAAAAATCCTCCAACAGGCCTCACATGGTGAGACATACCTGCAATCAAGATATTGCTTGATCTCATCAATATTCTCATTTTGGGGCGACCCATCATCATGTGCGGGAACAATAACGGCTGTAATCCGGTCATATCCTTTGTTGATATACTTGAATAAGTATTTTATCGAAGTGCTTTGATTACACCATTCCATGTTGATATGCGCTTGGTACTTTAACAACAATTTTGGATTATAAGGCACAACATGACGATTGTCTAAGATACAATCATTTTTTTCAATTTTCTTTCCATCGGCTCCTCCTATAAATAGGATAACCATCTTCGTCATGCGTCGTTGATGCCTGAAAAAATTGTAAATATTATATATTTCTATTTAAAAGTGATGGCGGTTATCTTAACTTAATACCTATTTGCACTGCTTGTGTCATGTACGACTTTGGTAGAGCAAGTTTAATACATATTACTAAAAAATGTGGTGTTGTTTCTTTATTTTGTATAAATTTCACTTGCTGTTAAAATTCAAAATCAGTGTTAATTTGTAGTATTACTCTAAAGTGTGACCATTTATAAGTTTTGATTTACTTTCCATAGGCTAGCCCTCTGTACTTAAAATGAATATTATAGCCCCTGTTTAAAAAGTCACATTTATTTTCAGTATCAATAGTTAATAGGATACTCATATATTAACTATTTTTTCGTAGTATTTTAGTTTATTTTTTTATAATTCATTAGCAAATGTATGAGACTATTAGGACAATAGAATATAATTTACATGTTTGTTACGATCTAAATGATAATATTCCAAATAATTGAGTACATAATTTTTTTTAAATTTATTGTTAGTAGCTCTAGTAAAATAATGGCTATGTATATTTATAGATTTAGTTTAATTATTACAATTAGGATGTTTGTATTATATGTATTTCTATATCAGACTTAAGTGATTTAGACCTGATCAGATCTGACTTAAGCATTACCATAATAAACCTAATAAAGCAAGCCACTCCTGCCAAGACTTTGATAGCTAATAAAATCATGTAACACCATATACTTCATTTGTCCAAATCAAATCAGAAGAAACCTAAATATACAAAATGAGATCACACTTAAACTGAGGAAACCAATTTAAACCCAACTTGCCTGGAATTGCTTAGGATAATACTTGTTGCACTTCCCATCCTGCATGCACGGTGATGAAGGGTTTGCTAAACCGCATGGACCATGAATCATGTGAGTTTTGACCAGGTTGTACAATTCTTTCTCGGTCTCTTCATCAGGTATCTCTGCTGAAATAATCTTATCAATATCATCACCAGTTGGGTACTTGCTCGAAGGATGCAAAAAAATGAGTATGTGCCCATGGGGCAATCCTCTTTTTTGGAACTGAATTGTGTGCATATCTGAAAGAAATTTCCAAAAAAAATATAGAATAAATGAATTGCACCAGTAAATGTGTAGTGTAAATAAGAAATATGTAATCTATTCATATATAAAACTTACATGCAAGAACTTTTCCGAAGATATACCTTTTCCTTAAATCTGTTAATAACTCTTCAAACTTTATCCTGAAGACCCTTGCAACAATATCAGGACGGTCATGTGGCTTCAAGTTTAGTGGTGCAAGTACTCTCTGAATCTCAGGCCAGTTGGGATTGCAAGTGAACGTGATAAAGAAATCAGGAAAGCCAACAAAAGCGCAAATTGTCATACCATCAAAGTAGAGTTGATCCATGTAGCGACGACTTCCTACAAATGTCGATGGTAGTACAATTCTTTTCCCCTTTTCAGATCCTTGACATAGTAAGTCGTAATTTGGTTGACTGAGGTTACTGTATTTATCAACTCTTAGCCTTTTTTGGTTTCTCCTGATAAAAGATAATCTCTCCGACTCAAGCATAGTATAGCCATCAACTACAAACTGCTGAAATAATCTTCTTGATCTCAACAATGTCAGCGCCTCATTTTTTCTTGTTTGTAGCCTAAAACAAAGCCACTCTCTTATGGTAAGGTGGTTTCTTTTAGAACTATTAGAATTACCTGTATCTCTATGAAGCACGTCATGTCTGTATCCATCCTCTCCATAAGGAAATAAAAGGGGATACTGATAACTCAAATAGCTAGTATGCAACTCACTTATTCGCTGAAGTGTACGACTCCAGGTCTCCATTATAATATCTGTTTTTGATGAAGTGTCAACATCTCCAACAATAAGAGCTGCAACTTCTGAAACCGTAGGCAAATTATATACTCGGCCATCGCTAACTCTGTCAGAAATCAACTTTAACCGTAGATCTTGCACAAGTGCATCTTGTAATCTTTCCTTAGCCATCCTAAATGATTTTGCATGCACATTGTATTCATGTAGCATGGCTGATAATTTACCCACAATCTGATCATCTATGTCATTTGGGTTTCTACAAAGTATCAAATAAAATTGAACAATCACATATAATGAGAAATAATAATTTAATAAATTTGTTTTTAGAGTTTTTGATATAATTGATGCACATGCTAACCTTACTCCTCGAATCCTATTTTGTATCTCATGCTCAGTATCATATATGTATAATTAGACAAACTTTGGAGGTTGACCTGGCATAGGTAACATGCTTCCCACTCGATGACATGTTTGGCCTTGTATCTTAAAAGTCGGGGGGCCTCGACCATCGTTGACTGACTTGTCAATTTTTGCACCTGGCGATGTGAATGCAAACATCATATATTAAAGAAATCATAGGAATATTTTATTATATACCAAAATTTATTTATACCAAAATTTATGTGCGGTGCTTATTTGATACTCACCAACTAAAACATGAGTGTTAAGTTTGCCACTTAGTATATCGGAAAAGCTTCTAAACTGGTAGTGAGCTGTGGGAATCTCGGAGAGATTTTGTAGTTTTAGTGTTGTACCACTTGTGAATTGAAGCTTGAATGGATGCTCACAAGTCTTGTATTCTCCTTCGTTGCGTAGGACACAAAAATTCTGCATCACATACGTTTCTCCTTCTTTAAGTTTTGGCTTCCAAAGAACCATCTCGGCATTCCTTGCAACTGCTTGTATCTTATGTCCCTAATGTATGAAAATAATTTTAAATTAACTTTCGATCATAATGGTACACATGATGAATTGCAGATTTACTAAGATAGCGATCGGACAACCTTAGCATCCATCAAAACCATTTCCATGAACTTTAAAGGGGAATTAACAGAACAGAGTGATATCACTCTAACCGCAATCTTCCATGTCTCTTTTGAGTCATTGATCTCTTCAATTGTGTTTATCTTCCGCGCCATATTGAAGGGTCTAAGAACCCACGAAAAGCTAATAAAAAGAAAACACATTTAATACAACATGATTTGTAAAAAATAATTTATGTATATTGTAAATTTTTGTGACATTTACATTTTGTGGGAAAAATTTCCTCTATTTTTTAGAGGCAGGAACGATTTTGGAGATGCGTTGCGGACGTGGCTTTTGTAAATTTCAAATTACCCACACAATTAATCATGTGTAGGCAATAAAGTTTTTTATTACCCACATATAAATAGCTAATTTGGTAAAATTATAGAGAAAACTAAAGTACCCCAGATTAGGATTTAAGTTTCCATTTAAAAAAGAAAGAATTAGCTGACTAGGAAACCATTAGGTTTCACGGTAAATTCCATTGTACCGCGGTTGTACCATCCGCACGGTACAGCAGGCGGTTTTAGTTAGTTACGTCCCTCACTTGAATGACTTACTCTGTATTTGACTGTTCTCTTTTTTTTTTCATTTTTGATTTTTTCTTTAACCATCTTATATTTTAATTTTATATTAAATAATTATGAAAATATATAATATAAAATATCCTTTAATGTCTCATGTTTTTTCCTTTTTCAAATTAACCTTCTAACTTAGATTTTTTAGTTTGTGCATTATAAAATATTTTAGGTATTAATGTTTTATTTTCTATTATTAATTTTAAGATGAATATTTATTGGTTTATTAAAAATTGTGTATTAATTATTAATATGAGTTTTACGTTATAGTAAAATGAGTATAGTGTAAAATATTTGTGCATAAGCAAACATTATAAAAAGAATACGATTATATTTGTAATTCAAGAATGAATGACGAAAAATTATGTTTTATTTTGTTATAGTTATATATGATACTAGTTTAGTAAATTGTTAATAATGAATCTACTACAAGTACATGTTATAGAAAAGACTTTATGTTATATTCGAATGAGTATAACGATTAAGAGAAACGAACACACACAACGATACTAGTTTATGTTATATTTGATGTTCATTTTGTAAGTTACGTATGCTCATCTATTAATGCTTTTATGTTCATTTTGAAATACCAAATTAATGCATATTTCAAAAATATCATATTACATTAGAATCGCATAAGAGTTGATTATATACACGAGGGCAAAGACCATGATGCTCAATTGTATGATTCTAACACTTACTAGAGGAAGTTTGATGCTCAATAAAAATGTTTTGATGTTCAACTAACCAAGTTTACCATTTTGTTTATTAATGCTCATTTTGTAAGTTACGTATGCTCATTTGATACTAATGCTATGCTCATTTTAAAATGTCATATCAATGCATATTTTCAAAAGCACCATATTACATTATATTCGCACATTGAAATTAATAGGAATTGATTATAGATATAATTTAATGAGATTTTATAAAAAAAATAAGAAAAAGAAAGCGAATTACAATTTATGAAGTTGATATCAAAATAGTCATTATTCGACTCTTAATGCTCATTAGAATATGTGTGATGCTCATTAAAAGTGTACTAATGATCATCTAACGAAAACCGTGATTTTCATTGAAATTACGAAAATGCCACCGTTTTTTAGTTGTGATATCAGCTTTCTTGTAATGACACAGTTCTCATTGTTAGACTCTTAATGCTCATTAAAATTGGACTATTGCTCATTAACAGTACACTAATGCTCATTTAGAAGAAACCGCGATTTCACATTAATTACAAAAATGACACCGGCTGTACGGTGCTCACCGTACAGCCGGCTGTACGGTGGATGAATTCAGGTTTCACACGTCACCTACCATATTTCCCACTAGAAAACCGTTGGCCTCATTAGATGTGGAGATAAACTGCCTTCTACTCGTCCCACCTTATACGCAACCCACTTCTCTGATCGGAAGATAGATTTGAAGCTTTTGAAATAGAGATAATTATCGGAGATATTATTAAAACATAACGTGTTTCTCAAAGTATGACTCTTTCAGTTTTTTTTCATAGACTATCATCCGTATGTTGTGCATGGTGAGTAATTTTTTATTTATTCCCACAGCTGCCCTTTGTATTAATTATAGGAAGAGTTTAAGTCACCCTAT